GCTTTATTGAAGAAGAAGTTCATTCCCACTCATTATATAAGGGAAAACTTTGCTAGGCTTCAACACCTAAGGCAAGGAAATCGGTCCGTAGAAGAATACAATCGAGAGTTTGAAGAACTCTTGATGCGGTGTGATCTCCAAGAGAATGACTCACAAACCTTTGTGAGATATCTCTTTGGCCTAAACACCCAAATCGCCAACACAGTGGAGCTGCAAACCTTTGAGAACCTTGAAGAGCTAACCAAGTTAGCACTTAAGGTGGAAGCCCAACTCAAGAAGGGCAAATCTTCTTTGAGCCGTGGCAATTCTTCCTACCCTAGTACATCAAATTCCACCCCCCTTGCTGCCCAAAATCTCACAGATCCCTCCCCTCAAAATCCTAAAACTGTGCGCCCTATTTCCTCACCCAATGCTTCTCCTCTTTCAAAACCAAGTTCCTCAAGTAGCCGAGTCCCAAAGTGTTTTCGTTGCCAAGGCGCTGGTCACTTTGCTAGTGACTGTCCAAACAAGAAGATCATGGCTATTGTTGAATGTGAAGAAGAAGAATTGAATCCATTTTGGATTCAAGGAGAGCCGAACGAAGAAGAAGAAGTTGTTGGTCCCGATGAAGGTGAACTTTTGGTCATTCAAAAGACCATTAGTCATGCCCAGGACGATACCACACACCGAGAGAGTATTTTTCGTACTCGTTGCACCGTTCAAAAGAAGGTGTGTTCAATGATCATTGATAGCGGGAGTAGTGCCAACGTGGTTTCCAAAACAGCGGTTGAAAATCTCAATTTAAAGGAGATGCCATATCCGAAGCCTTACGAGATTCAATGGTTGAATCTTAACGAAGGGATACGTGTGAATACACGTAGCTTGGTTTCCTTTAGCATGGGTCAATCCTTTCATGATGACGTATGGTGTGATGTGATACCCATGAGAGCTTGTCATATTCTCCTCGGGAGGCCCTGGTTATATGATCGGAGAGTTACCTACGATGGTTTTGCCAACTCGTATTCATTCTTTTTGAATACTAGGAGAATCACTCTTTCCCCAATAATACCATCCAACAAGCTGCCCGAAACACCGCCCCCATCTGTACTTGCCATGTTTGCCTACCGCGAATTTAAAGAGTTACAATATGACCCTTTGTTTGAGCAAAATCAGCCGTTGAGCCTTTTTGAAGATCCCCTATCCGACCCCTTCTTTGGAACGGAAAACCTCGGGGGCAAACCAACACTAACGGCTTTTAATGCCAACACTTTTTTGCTTAATTTTCAGGTCATTCAAAAAGGCACAGGTGTGAGAGAGAACAAGTCCTCAAGGTGTTCTAGAGATAAAGATAGATTACCATATCCAAACCCCGAAGATGAGCGTGAAGAAAAGCCGAGTTTGAGGGAAAACTCTTTCGAAGAAGGGGAGGATGATATATATCCGGGAGCATGCCCGAAGACTCTCCATAGCCCGCCAAGGGAAAGACAGATCAGGGGAATAAAGCCCAAGTGTGGTGACATTAATTGGGTT